GATCATAATGTCAGTTTTGATACTCTCCGAACCAACTAAATCCAAATGCATAGATAACTTCGTTCAAATATTGTGAGAGATACTTCATGCTGATGGTTAATATTGACATATGAACTACGTCTTTGTGGAATAAACTGGGGTGCAAATCGACAAAATAGTGTGACGAAATAGTGTCAGGTTTTGAACACTTACAACTTGCCCAATTATGGATGGATTTTGAATTACACCATTTGATTAAAATTTGATGTAAGATTCGTTTGGTGTAAATATTATAGTAGTTTATCAATAGTAAACTATAAAAAATTGATCTAACATTTTTACCATCATCAACCATTTAGTGCTCGCTTGCTAACGCACTTGCTATGACTATCAGGCAGATAACCGATAGTGAGGTTATAAAAGAGTGCACCTGTAATGTGTTGTGTTAGTTCATCTGCGGATGTCGAGCTTTTAAAATGTTCATCGAGATTTGGCTTATAGTTTTTACACGCCCGTTCAAAATTACCCAAAAATGTGTACAATAGGATGAATTATTTTCGGAGTAAACAAGGGGAATCCAAAAATAGGTAAAAGCTTTGCCAACAATAAGGTAAAAACTTACTTAAAATTAATTAATGTGTCGAATTGTTTGCGTGTAAACTAAACAGAAGTTTGATGTCTTGGCTAAAGTTGTTCAAATGGATAAAGCGTATTGGATGGTGGAATGCTCAGTTCATAACTCGCTCACCAGGTAGTGAGAGTGTGCCATTTGATCTCTAATTACTTGCTTAATATGACATCCCGATTTGATAGAAGGTTGGTGTCTTCAGAAAAGTTGTGCAGGTGTACAATACCTATTAGATGCAAAAATGTTATATTATGTCCAGTGTTCGGAAAAACTCAAAAATTCAAATCTCATGCATGAGTTTATGCGTCTATGAGTTTTGCCTTGCAAAATTCAACGTCGCAAAAATCACCGATGAGTTTTCAGGTTCGAAAATTCATTGCTTTCTATTTTTGCGTTATTCATTGTTATTCCTATTGTTTGCGCATCAGGAGTTGGAAAACTAACACAACATGCCTAGGCATGATATCAATTGACGTTTGAGTGGTTTTTATGAGTTTAAAGCTGGAATGGTTTTTCGGCGTTGTGAGTGTGAGTGCGTGAATATGCATGATAATCTCAAACGCGAATTTTGTTTGCCGCATTCGTACGCGAGTTTATTCTCGCAGGGAGGCTCAATGAATGATATTTGAGAATGATTTTCCGAACACTGGATGTCAGATGCACTGCAATGTATTATAAACTGAAATGTTATATGAAATGCATTTTAACTTACGATTGATTTTTTTTTTATTATTTGTTTTCCGTACTGAGTACCAATGCTACCGACACCAGGAAGGCAGCTCCTGCGCCTGGACCCTACATATCGACCTATTAACTCATGAACTGGGGACCAACGGCTTTACTTCCCTTCCGAAGGAAGCCGTGATCATGAATTTTATGCCTCATGAGAGGCATTCACGCTACCCACTACATCACTGTCGTCGCTAACGATAAGTTTTAATTATTATTCAGTTGCAGATCGTTTAGTGTCCATGTTTGGAACCTTATCTCAAATGGGAACTAAATATTGAGTTCTAAAAATATAGTCTTCATTCTACGATATTGAGTGTCACCTAATTTCAAATATTTGAAAACTGAATTTTGTTCATTGTTCATTTAGGAATTAAGTTTATGTGTTACTAATCTAGTGAATATTATTGAATGGAGCAACAACAATAATCGTGTAGTCCTACGTCAATAAGGCGATTTTGCGCTGTACACTAGGGTTTTTAATGACTTTGATAATGTCAATAACATAATATGGCACACATCTCTTAAAATTAGCAGAATCATAATATTCTAGTGTGATATTTATCTGTCAAGCTGTGTGGTTTTCTACAAAAATTACATTTTTAACGAAAGAGATGATTAAACTTTGGAATAAAAGAAGTTAGCTCAGAAAAGAGCCCATTTTAAGTAAAATTGAGCTAAAACCATGATTTTAAATTAGCTATCCTGGAATGAAAAATAACTTCCCCTCTGATATTTTTACATGAAAATATTCATCAAAGCACGTAAAATTTTATCACGTCATTAGTTTAAAAAACTGGTTGCCCCAATTTGCAAATTATCTACCAGAATATCGTATGTTTTGAACACATAAGCGCTCTTAACATGTTGCATTTGTGAGGTAGCGTGTTGAAGTATTCTAAAAAGTTGCTTGATTTGATAAATGAAAAAACTCCTTCTAACATAGTATGCCATGAAAAAATCAAATAAAAAAGATATGGTTGAAAAAACGATTTGCAGGGACCTTCCTTAAAAAATACTTCATATCTCAATGAAAACGACGATTTAAACCTTTGATGTTTTCGGCAGAGTTTGTGGAAATGATAAGATCTACAACTTTGTGGAACATTTCATTTTTCTAAAGTTAGAAACTTTATTTTTTGTTCTAACGGATTTAAATTATGGACAACATTTTCATCAGATGTGCCTTTTTTCAAATCTAAACTTGTCTGAAGACACCAACTTGATTAAACTGCATCTTTATGCACTTTTTTAAAATTTTTTTAGGAAAAACACCCTTCTGGACCACTGTGCAGTGTGTACATAACATTTATTTTTATCGCTGGTAATCAGCAATTTTTTGCTGAATTTTGCCAAGCTGAAATTTCTGAAAATTACTGAAATTTTCAGCAATGTGAAATGTAATTCTGCTTGACAGAGGTTTACTGAATTATCAGCATATTCAATAGATTTGCTGACGATTCAACTAATTCGGCAATCGCATAACTTGACAGCACTTTGCTGATAGACTTCAGCAATATTTATCATTGTACCGAAAAAGCAGCTTTTTAGTTATTCAAAACAAAATTTCGGTTTATTTGAATCATTTTGATTTATTTAAACAAATTCAATTTAATTTCCATGCAAACTTTCGAAGAGATTCGATTGAAATGTCACTTAATTCCTCATCAACTAGGTTTGCGGTTCCAGCGCCCATAATGAGTGCGATGTTCTCCTCAGTGCAACTTAAATTGTCTGGCTGTAACTGATCGAATTGTTGGTAGTATTATTTATGCTGCTGTTGGTGGTGGAAATCTGGTGCCCTTATCGGATGCTTTTTGATGATATGCTGCTTCAGACTACTGATCTTCCGGTAGCTCATCCTGCAACCTCTTTTAGTGCATGTAAAGTGCACAAGCTCCTTATTAAAATGATGTTTATTCTCGTGCACTTTTAGGTGTCGTCGACGTCCATCAATATATCCCCCAACCAACTGATGGCAGTAGAAACACTTCAGGGTATCTGCCATTGCTCTCGAGGGTGAAGAAAACACAAGATTATATTTAACTATTTTATTTTTTTACATTCTCCACTTTTCAAAAACTTAATTTTGAGTCTCACTGTTAGGGGGATTAATCAATCAACGGATACCGTCAACATATGGACCTTTGTATGGCTATGAACTTCATCTACCTATAATTTAAGGTTTGCGAATAATTCCACACGATCACGTTTTTCACCGTTTAGACCACTGTGCATTGGCGAAATTGCCCCACTTTCCCCTATACTTACGAAGAATTCCTAAAATCATTGCTCTGGCGCTTTGGGAACAATCTACTGTCGAAATATCAAGAGATGTAGTTCAAATGATCAGAAAGGGTGTACAAATTTTTCCCATGAACTTCCAAAACACTTGGCAGACTTGGAAATTCAAATATTTATAGAACTCGTTTTAGAACACCTTTCAAAATCATAAATTTTATAAGTCAAACATTCTGTTTTGTAATAAGTCTCCGTAATGCTGTCATTGTTCAAAGTGACATTTGGCATTTTGAACAATGATGACTTTCAATGAGTCATTTCATCCTTAATAAATATTCAAATTGCTCCAGTAAGTAGCTATTAGTCAACATAAAACTTTAATCTTTGTAAGCTGCACTCGTCTCTCATGTTGCATGATTAATAAACAACGTCATTAAAGGGCCGTCATTGTTGCAATAATAAGAAACACAGTGCTTTCATTCAGTTGCCAGGTCGTTTGCCCGTCTTCCGTGTAGAACGGTGTTTAGCAGTATGAAGTCTTAGCGCTCAGAACACTGCTCGAAGTCGTCGGCCGGTCGTGCGCGGTTCGCTATTATAATAGCGTGCACTAAACGATGATTTGCTAATTTGCAACACTTCTCTACAAACCGCCGCAAACCGTGAATTACCATGTCAATCGCGTGCCCGCGTTCCGGAGTGTAATGAATTACGCTTATTGTGTTATTTTCCTACCTATTCAGATTGAGTAAATATTTGAAAGTTCTCAGTTGACAATTCCAACTCTGGTGGGAGAATTCCAAGTACTACCAAATGATAATACTAACAAGATTCCTCTTCCGTTCCTTCATTCGTTAGCACCGCAATGTTTCGCCGCACCTAACCCTGACGTGACCACCACAGCACTTTATTTGAGCTAAAAACGCTGCTCCAAAGCAGCTGCAGTTACATCTTCGTTCATCTATATTCCGGCTTCCTCGTTGAGCATCGTCATCATCGTCACAGTATCAAAAACTTCCAAGTATATAGGTACAGGCGGCGGCTGTACGGTGGAGTGGGGTATCTACATATATAAGTCATAGACAAACAATCAGAAAAGAAAAATTGAGTCATTGGATCGTGCAGAAAGCAATTATCGCAAAGCGAGAAACGATAATGCAACTCAACATCGACGGCAATGATGGCCGTTTTGTCGGGTTATCTATGTTGCCGTTTAGCTTCTACATTGTGTTGATTGATGTGTGGATGATGGTGGTGTATCTAATGGATGTTTGTTTCTACTTGCAAGAACTGTTTACATTTTTCCCCTCTATCAGATATGTGCCATGTGGTGTCACAACATGTTATCAGTATGCATGCACATAATTCAAAATTTAATCAATAGTTTTCCGACCTAATTTTGTCCCGTTTTCTCTTCCCCATGCAGGAAAGGCACATTGTAAAATGTAAACAGCACCCCGATATCGACCGTCAACAATCACGGAAACCAACACGGTGACGACACTGGACACTTATCGACATACACATTTATGTTGCATCCCCGAGGCCAGGCATATCAAATTATAGCGAAACAGTGGTGAAAGATCTCTCATATTCCTCAAACTGCAGTCAGTCATCGAATCCGTCGGATGATTTGAGTTCCGGGAGATATCGCCGTTTGAAGGAGAGTTCGGAAGAATGGCCGAGGCAATCATCACCGATTGGATCTCGGACTACAATTCGCTGCAGGAGTCCGAACTGCGAACCTTTATCGCCACGCATGAGAACGATTTCGAAATCTCCAAAGCCCTCTATACCATCCTGAACGAACGTGCCAAGTATAAAGATGTGAGTATGAGAACGTGTCACGTCAAATTTGATTAATTTAATCGAATCGCTATTTTCGTTTTCATTCTGGCTCGACAGCTCATCTACCCGGTTTGCAATCAGCTGTGCGATTTCTATCGCTCGAACGAAGTCGAGCTGAGGCGATTTACGCTGCAGTTTGTGCCGATACTGATCTATCTGTATCTGAACTCGGTGGCTTTGGGCGACAAGAAGGGCTGCCGGTCGATCGAAACGCTGCTGATTTGCATCTACAACATCGAAGTCAGCTCGGACGATGGCAATCCGAAGGTGGTCTCGTTCCGGATGCCGGTACTGGCACAGGCGTCCATCTACCATGAGGTAAGGGCATTCAGAGCATTTAATCGGTTCGATATTGTTTTACTTTGGATTGTTGTCCGGTTTGATCCGATTCTCTTTTATTAGATTTGTCATTTAATGTGTTTCAATTTCAACGCAAAAAAAAAAAATTGTAACATGCAGATTGAGAGAGTATTTTGCTGCACTATTATTTTCAGTGTCGGTCTTCAATCATGAAAAAACAATCTAAATTGGACATTAGGGTGGGTCAACTGTACAACCCCCTATTTCCTACTGCTCTTTAAATGCGTATTGATGCTCGCAACAACTGTGCAAAATTTGAACGAATTTGATTATAATCTCGATTTGCGGGAGAATTTTAAATGTTGTATTGAAAAATGTATGGGAAACAGAACGATCATATTAATTTGCTTACCAAACATCCAAATATTGCTCAAATTTCACCAAATCTGGAACTTAGATTGAGAATACTAAACAACTTTTTCGAAGACTGCAAATCGATTTGATCTTTGTATAGAAAGTTACACGGAAAAAAGTTTTCATTTAGTTTCCATTGGGAATGCACATAATATGTTTCCATTAACAAAACCACATAACATGTGATCACATGAGTTCTATAAGATAAATCACTTAAATTTTATTTGACACATAAGGTTCATGTGATTTTGTCGTTCAATTCCCAATTATGATGTCACATGAAAGTTATGTGAAATTCTAATGAATATTTTTCATTCGATATAGGGTTGGTTGACCGGTTTTACCGAAACCGGTTTTACCGGTATTACCATGCTGTTCCGGTATTTTCGGTATTTTATTGCAAAAGTATAATCAATTTAAAAGAAAAGCTCTCTTAATTTTGAACATGTTAGCCAATTTGGCTAAACTACACCACCAAGTCCGCTTTATGCCCAATCTGGATAATCTCTTTGAATCGTCTGAGTAAAATGATGTTAGCGTGTATCGAGAGAGGTGGAACTTAAGGTTTGTTAAGCTCTGATGACACGAATAACTCACGAACGTCATTGTTGGTCTGATGGTCAATGAATCTGTATGAATGAGAGAGACGGCATGAATGATTGAATATGTTTCGGGTTAAAAGTGCGCAGTCATGTAGTAGTCGTTTTCGTTGACAAGTTGGCAAGCAGCATCTGAAACATTGATTTTGAACGTGAGAACAATATTACAAAATGGATTTTGAAGAAAAGGTGAAGCCAGGAGTGCCAGAATATTCTGCCTGGAACTATTTCTTAAGAGGAAAACAGAACAGAGAAATTGCAAAGTGTGTCAAGTGCAATGAAGTTATCAAGTGTGAAGGTTCTAGCACAAGTGGATTAATTGCGCATCTCCGAACACAACATGAAATAATATTGGCCAAACGGAAGGCATCTGCCCCGTCTGAAACATCTGAGCAAATTGCATCGACATCCGGATCCAGTGCGAAAAAGAGAACCATCGTTCAATATTTTTCAAAGGCTTGCCCTATCGATGCTGTTCTTGCTCGACTATCTGCTAAGGACGGAATTTCATTCCACACAATATGCAAATCGGAGGTCATAAGGCAAGAGTTAGTTGCTCGTGGTTTCAACGACATCCCACGAACTCACCAAGGAATAAGGCATCGAGTGGAAATGTTTTTTGAGAAGGTCGTCAACCGGAAGGAATTCGAAGACATAAAAAAAATGGAAGGAAACTAAGTTTCACGTTTGACGAGTGGACATCCAACAGGAATCGACGTTACATGAATGCTGCCAACAAAACGTGGAACCTAGGCCTGCAAAGAGTAGATGGATCCATGAACGCGGTGCGGTGTGTTGAGCTACTTCCATCGAAAACGGAACAGTATGAAATATCACAGGAGAAGGACGTGATGGCTATCACAACAGATGGAGCGTCGGTGATGGAAAAAGTTGGCAACGAGGTCCCCGCTACGCATCAAGTATGTTTAGCACATGGAATACATCTAGCAGTAATCGACGTTTTGTACAAGAAAGCATCTAAGCTGGCCGCCTACATGGAATTCGGAGAGAGCACAGGTAATTTAGCTTAAAATTTTAGTAAAACTATGATCCTCATTATTCAATTTATAGGTTCAGACTGTGATACTGACACAGATACGTATGATGACGATGATGGAAACGCCGATTTTTTCACGATTAGCAATACAGACCACGACGAACACACAATTATGCCCGAATACTGTACAACGGTGAAAAAAGTACGAGATACAGTGAAGCTCTTCAGAAAATCTCCAGTGAAAAATGACGAAGTACTCCAGAAAAATGTCAAAGCAGACCATGGAAAAGAAATAAGTTTGCTTGCTGACTGCAGAACAAGATGGAATAGCCTGCTGGCAATGTTGCGCCGATTCTACGACCTCCGGACTGCGGTTCAAAAATCCCTGCTCGATCTGAAAACCAAGAACAAGATTAGTTTTAGCGAAGAAGAACTGATAACAATCAAAGAAATTGTTGAAGCGCTGGAACCAGTTCTGGCTTCTGTTGAACTGCTGTGCCGTAAGGATTGTACGATCTATGAAGCCGCTGTGGGCTTACACTTTATGCTAGAGCAGCTCTCGGAACAAACTTCAAATATCGCGAAAGAAGAGAAAGAAAGAAAGAGTCTCTTGTTGGAAGAATTTCAGAAAGACGGTTCGTCAACGCCGATTTGTTTGCATTTATGAGCAACCGCTCTGTCCGCGATACAATGACAAATGACTTTGGACTATTCTTCAAGACCTCGCGGACTGCTTTGATATAGCATTGATTTGGAAGGGAACGGAATGAATGCAGAGATCGAGCGAAGAGAGGAACTCAATCGACTAGATGATGCAGCTGATGCAGAGAACGATGGTTTGACCGTGAAGGAAAAAATAGAAAGACGGTTGCAGCAGTCGAAGTTTGCAGCTTCTAGTTCTGGCTCAACGTCAACGTCAGCAAACAGTTTGACAAAAGTTTTTCGACAAGAGTTCGCCTACTACGATGCAGAGAGTTTGAAAGGCAAATACATGAAGATCATTTACGATGCCCTTTGCACTGTACGTCCTACATCAGTGGAGTCTGAACGAGCATTTTCGGCATCCGGAAACATTGTCAGTAAGCTCCGTTCTCGTTTTGGGAGGTAATACGCTAAACGCTCTTTGCGTTCTTAAAGGTTATTTTAACGAACAGGCCAATCTTTGAATAGTGCATTTTTTTATTCAGTCGTTGACCAATAAACGCTTTTTATACAAATTATGCAGCTTTTTATTTCTTTTAGAACTTCGTCCAAATACAGGGCTGGTAGCGACCGGTATTAGAATTTTCAATACCGTAAAACCGGATTTAGGAAAAATGTGCCGGTATTACCAATCTTAATTGGATATGTGATTTATTCTTTGTGTGTACTAATCTATCACTTTAGACCAAGTGATCCGCATTCATGGAACATAATTTACATTCGTTTAGTGCATGCATTTACATTCATTTGCCTCTAATTTTTTTCATGAATAGATCTCCGTAAAATAATTATTAACTTTTATTGGTTTTACAACTTTTGTGAATAACTCAAATCGGTATATCTTATGCATAATGAACCAGAGGGAAAAGAAATGAAAATTACATTCAATGAAAAACAAAAACAAGTTCAGCCCGCTCTAGTTCGTCATGCATAAGAAATACAGATTTGAGTAATTCACCAAAGTTGTAGCTAATGTCAAAATCTTTAGCTTTAGCTTTAGTGATCATTTTATAAAATTCTGTTAATGAAAAAAATTTAGAGGCAAATGTATGTAAATGAACCAAAATGTATTGCATAGTATTCTCAATCTATGTTCGAGATTTGGTCAAAGTTTAAGCAATATTTGAATTTTTGGCATACAACTGACACAAATCCAGACTCTAATCATATTCATTCAAATTTGGCACCGTTGTTGATGACCCTAATATACTAATAATATGAAACAGGGGGTTGTGATCCACCATACAAATAAGACCCACCCTATTGGATAAATATGCACACTTAGAAATTGTTAGACCCTCATTTCACAAGCCATTTAACCATTATTTGAATTTGAAAACACTTTCAGTCCTGTTTAAATATTCGAATCATGCCATTGTATTAACACGAAGACAACATATCAAGAAGACTGGCAACTCTTCCATTTTCTTATACGAACGCTATGAGACAGGTACAATCGCGTCATCTGCCGCTCAAAGGTAAATGCTTCGAACGAATTTGATAGCAAAGATTACATCCTCAGAAGAAAGGTTTGTGTATTTGCTTATTTTTCTATGCGTTGCTTCCACCTTCACTCAAGCGCAGCGCTACTGCATCTGTCGCTTGGATTCTGGAAAAGTTGCCAGTCTTCTTGATTTGAAGACTTTGGTTAAAGTTTACCTTGTTTTGAAGTCTTAAAGCTTTTAAATTTAAATGCCTGAATTTAACCGAACATTTCAACTGTTGAAAGTTCGGTAAAAAATACCGAAGTCGGTAATAATTTCTTAATATGTGTATTGAGAAATTTTCCTTGAAATCTTTTTGACTTGCCATGAAGTTTTTTAGACCTGTCTTCGAAGGTTTCAAGATTAAGATTAAAATCTTTCAGATGTGATGTGCTTTTGAATTGGCTGTTGAAGTCCTCTGGTCTGTCTTATTGCCTTCAAAATCCTTTCAATTGTTATTATTTGGCTAAACATAATCTACATTTACAATCGATGTTTGTGCCATTGTGGCTTAATGTTGCCCCTCTATAATTGTTACTTCTGTTACTGTTTTTCTTACACATCAAAATTGTTCGCTAATTGCCTAATTTCAGGGTTGGTAGCGAGTCACTTTTTAGTGACTTGGTCACTTTTTTCAAGTTAGTTACTAATTTTTAAGGCCAAGTCACTAAAGTCACTTTTTCAACTTTTTTAGCGTGAATTTATTTCAAGATTGATTATTCTTTGCGTTGTGACGTTTAATCGTCTTCTTCTATATACAGGATGTCTACTCATTTTTCTGGATAAAATTACCCGAGTTTTCCAAAAAATAGATCTTGTAAATATTCAAAGTGCCAGAATTAAGAAAAGAAGATTTATTTCAAGTTCGCAAATAACTTTATGACAGATTAGAGATCTTCAATGTAGTCCCATTAACTTTACAACAATTGTAGGAACTTTACAACAATTGTAGGAAAGTTCTTAGGAATGAAAGGAAATGCTGAGAACTTCAGTGAAGCTCTGCAAACTGCAGGAACTTAAGGGAAGTTAACACGCTGGAAATATGGGAAACTTACTGGAAGCTGTAAGAACCTCAAAGCGGTTCTTTTAGCATCCGAGACTTTTCAGGAACTTTTATGAAGTTCCTAGAATTTCCGAGAACTTCACAGGTGTCAAGCGAACTTGAGAAATTTGGAAAGCTTAGGGGGTATTGGGCAAATTTTTAAGAAGTTCTAAGCACCTCAGAAAAGCTAGATCTAGAGATCTTTGGGGAATTTCAGATCTTAAGAGCAGTTCCCGTAGCTATAGTCCAGACTTTTGAAGCAGTTTAAAATCTTTAATTGTAAATTTAGATAAGTTCAGGATAGTTCCATGATGTGCTAAAAAACAAATCGAGAACCCTTAAGATGTTACGCAAATTTTGGGGAAGTACAGAGACCTTCAGAGAATTTATGAAAACTTCAAAAATATTTCAGAAACTTCACAGAAGTCCAAAGAATTTCAGGGAAATTTAAAGGTGTTTAAGAGAATTCTATTGATTTCCGAGCAGAACCGAGATCTTCAATAGAACTAAGAGCTTTATGGAAGCTTCGAAAACATCAAGGCAGGTCAGAGAATCAAAGGGCAGTTCGAATAATTTAAAGGAAATATTAGAAACCTTAAAGAAGTTTCGAGAAACTCAGTGAATTTCCGAAAACTTCAGCAAAGCTCCAGAAGAACTCCTGGAAATTTTATTAACATCCAGAAAACGTAAGAGTATTTTAAGGGTGTTATATCATGGCTAATTTAGCTAAGTTGATTAGAGAACATCAAGGAAGGTCCATTAATAAAAAAAAAGCGAGAACTTTTAGCAAGCAGCGATATCTTCAAGATATTCCAGAGAACTAAATTCCGATATTTTTAGATAGTTTAATGATATTGAGCGAAGTTCCGAATCCTTCGAGGACGATCAGATAGCTTCAGAATAATTCCATTAACAAGCAAATTTGCAGCGACTTACAAGGAGTTCCGTGGAATTATAGGGTATTCCAAGAATTCTATGATTAATCCTAAAACGTCAGAAGCGTCAGGGAATTATGAATGTATATCAGAAGATTTGCTGGATTATTAAACAAATTAAAAGAACTTCAGGTAAGCATAGATAAGTTTAGGGAAAATAAGCGAGTGTTAATAAAGGAACATTTTCGAAACTTCAAGGCAAATTAATTAATTTCAGTAAAGTTGCGGGTTCTTAAAAAATACTGATAAATTCAGGGCAGTCTAGAGAACTTTAATGAAATTCAGTAATCGGCAGTTTTAATAACACCAGGAAAGTCTAAAATATTGAAGAAGTTTTAAATTAGTGTCGATAATTTAAGCGAAGTTTAATGAACTTCAGAAAAATCTTGAGCACTTCAGCGAAAATCATTGAACTATATTAATTATTTCGTTCTAATTCCATGAAAGTTGCGGGAGCACAAAAGTTCCAGAAATTTAGAGAATCTTCGGAAACTTCACAGAAGGGCATAGTGGTCTTCAGAAACATTACTTCATAGCAATCTGTGGAGCTTAAGATGAGATCCGCGAACTTCAGGAAATTTTATGAACATTCGCAAAATGCGGGAGCATTTGAAAGAAGTTTAGTAAGGTCCGAAAATTAGTTTCAGAAAATTAGTCGGGAATTTAAAGCAGTTCCCAGATTTTCAGATAACTTCAGAGACGTTAAAAAGTGATTTGAGGTCTTTGCATAAGTTCAGAAGTTCACTTAATTAAATTCAGCGCAGTACAAAAAGCTTCATGAGAACTGCAAAAACTTTAGAGAAGTTTTGAGAATTTCATAAAAGAACAGAGAACCACAGAGAAGTCACATAAATTTTAAAGAAGTTTAGAGAACTTCAGTGAATTGTTAAACCTTAGAAAAATTGAGAAAAACTTTAGGAGTTCCGAATTTGAGTAGAAGTATTGTGAGCATCAGGCTAGTTTATCAAACTACAAAAGAACTTCAAGGCAGTTTCATTAACTTCAGGAAAAATTTGAGAACTTTCAAGTGGTTCTGAAGACCTCAAAATAGTCCATTCCATATTCAACGGAGATTTCCTCAAAATCTCGATGGAGCTATCGTCAGAATTCAATTTTCTTTTAGTTTTCCTCGGAATTACCTTGAAATTCTTCTCCACAATTAGAAATCCTTTGGAAAGATTCTTTGAGTATTCATTGAATTCATTTCAGATTTCCTTTTCAATCTCACTCCTTCCCTTGGAATTCTTAAAGTCTAACAATTCATTGACATTGCTCCTCAGAAATTCCTTAAATTTCTTCTCATAATTTGTTTGGCAAACTCTCCTGAATTTATTTTCCGAATTCCTTTGAGCTCACTGGAGTTATTTTCACATTTAATTTTAATCCTCCTTTTAGTATCTTCAAAAAAAAAATGTCCACGGACTTGTGCTCCGGATTCATTTTTTCTCACAAACTTTATGAAATTATCCTCAGAATGCCCTTGGAATTATCCGGTGAAGTTCACAAGAGTTGTTCTCCTCAGAAATTCCTAAAAATTTTCAATAAAATTTATTTTCAACTCAATTCAGGGTTTCTTGTAATTCTACTTAAAACTAAGGCTTCACATGAAATCTAAAATTCCTCAGAACTACCTCAAAAGCAGATTGCATTTGATTTTGAATGATTTTTTCCCAGAGCTCGTTTGGACTGAGGTCCCTAGAAATTGTAATAAAATTCCTCGAGTCTTGAAAACTGTGCATGGAACTTTACTCCAGATTCTTAGAATAGCGAACTAGGACAACTTTTAAGGAAGGTACAAATCGGGGGGGGGGGGGGGGACACCCCTCACCATCCCTCTCCAAAGGGGGAGTTTGGTAAAGAGAGATGAAAAAACCGATTTGTACCTTCCTTAAAAGTTGTCCTAGTTCGCTATTCTAATATCTATATACAATCTTCACACTGCCACTCTAACGGAACTATCAACTCTATGCTTTCATCTACTCCATCTATCGTATAAAAATTACCACTACAGTCTGTTATTTGAAATTAGCATCTTCAACTATGTAAATCGTTGACTTCACGTAGAAGTAATACTAAAAACATATAGTCAAAGTCCAGATTCTTGAAAATTTCTTGAAGTATGATCGCTTTTAAGTCCAGAACTAGTTTAAATTATTTTTTTTAGGAAATATGCATGTTCCAAAACCAAAAAAAAAAAAAAAATATTTTATATAAATTTATTTGTAACTGAAGATTAATCCATTGTGGTTCTGCAATACCTTTGCCTATTATCGTCAGGGGGATCTGATCTGTCCTTGAGTGCTCAATTTTGACCAAACGATGCTTTGAAACGGGATGCATCCTCATGCAAAAAAATGAGTGCACAAATATTTAGTTTATCCCTCTAACGTCCGACAATAGGTTATTTAGGAGTTATTGTCCGAAACCGTCATCTCCCCTTCATTAATTCGAAATCGCTAACACCGTTTCTACTTCCATTTCCCCGCACAGGAAAAAACCCTGCACCCCAGTGACCTGCGCCGCTGGGAGGAGAATAGCAACAAGGAAATCAGCTGGGGTCCGCTTCCGTCGATCGAATCCATCAACGCGCAGAACCGACTGAAGGTGATGACCGCGCTGCTGTTCACCTACAACCAGCAGCTGAATCAGATCCACAAACCCGCCCTGTACCACCTGTGCAGGACCACCTCGCTGTTGGTCAACCAAGGCTTCCCGAAGGTCGGTCACATGCACCGTCCGTCCTACGGTACCGATCCGACGTCACCGCAGTCGGCGGGCAATTCGCCGAATCAATCCTCGCTTTCCAGCGTGCAGAAGCCGATTCCCCGGATAGCGGTTAGTTCGCAGTTTCTGGTCGAACTCGCGCACGCCAACTACTTTGCCATGTTCAACGAATTCGCTTCGGCGGCCATCGAGGCGGTGAACGATTTACACAACCGGGCCTGTTACGAGATGCTACCGGAGGTGATATTAGTAACGAATGCAATCCGGAATTCGCTTCATGCGAATCCTTCTGGTAAGCGGAATCTGCCGAATTCCCCCTCAACCAATTATTCCTACAACATTTCCACCCATTTGTAGGTCAACCGAGCGACGGTCCGATGGGTATCAGTGTGGCACTAACTCCGGCAACCGCCACGGTGACGGTATCGAAGTCGATGATCACCAACGCTTCGTTCCGAACGAAGAAGCTTCCAGGTACGTGCATCGCATTTCAGGCTTTCACTGTGTGGCCATCTTTTTACGTCCGCATTTGGCTTTATGCATTCATTCTGTCACCCGCCGACAAGCAAAAGATTCGAGAGTCTCTGACAGCTGGAACAAAAAATCCAAACCTCTCGAACGTACATATATATATATGACTGTGATCGGTTTGATCGCCCACCCATCCAGCATCACCACCGTCACCATCCTTCAAACACCACGCACCGCTACCAGATTCAGTAACGTACCGCATCACATCCGTTGTGGTGTGGGATAGCGTGCGTGTGCACGCGCGCGTGTGTGTGTGTGTGTGTGTATCTGTTATAATCTCCACCCCACACCTTTTTCACACGTGTCTCACTAAGATTCACCACTAATCACCGATTACCTCACATGTACACACATTACACGTACCTACTGGCCCCAAAAAATATAATTCACCCCTCCTGCCTGTTACATATGGAATCACGCTGCTGAAACACACGATTTTTTCCCCCTTATTTCCTTTTTCAGTTTCAGTTCATGATTATTTTTCACACGCGAGTATACTTTCCTTTCGCGTCCTTGTTGCGTGGTATTTGTGTTGAGCAATCTTCTGACCTACACGAGTTAATTTTTTATGCGTTCTGGCACCAATTTTTTTCCGTTAACGTTTCTAATCAGCACTATTTCTGGTGGAACTACGTGCATGGAGTGACGAAATAGAATCTCCGTTGAGGGGAAATGTCAGGTTCGTGTTAGTAGTTCAGGGGTAATCCATGTATTTGTAATATGTGAAAGCTTATTAGAACTGTAACTGAAAGGGTAATGATTTGATTTTTAGCCAAACCAGGTACTCAATCAATTATCTTTCCACGGAAAGCTTGGAAAGAGTTCCATTTCCAACTCAAACAGCGTCTGTAAAAGGTAGTTTGAGCCACGTTTTTTGCTTCTAGTTTGTAGAAATAGTTATGTTAAATGAATACTTCTATCTGTGGGGAATTCTAATCCTTTGTACATATTAAGTTAAAACAATCTTATCATTATACTCTTGGGGTCATAGAATAAACCAGAAAATTCTCCCAGAATTTCTTCATTGACTGAAAAAAGTTCGAATCGTTCTTTTGGATTCTCGTTCGTAGTGCTAACTTAAACATTCCACCAATCTACGTGTACCGTGAATTCAATGTTTATTTAAAAAGCAATACGCGGTGAATTTCTTTGAAACTCTTCGTGTCATTATTTGAAATATTTAAGAATAGGCCAACAGTATAAAACTTAACGAACTAAGTAAAAAATATTGGAAAATTACTTTTCATATCGTACGTCGTGTTCCTAATTTTCCTATGTGCCTAATATGACGCAACATGTTCCTAATTTGACGCACTATAAAAATGTTATATATTCAATCAATAATAAGTGATTGTTGAAGATCTCGTTAAATACGTAGCGGGTGCATAACATCATAATATTTACTTAATGAGTTTGACCTTTTCGTAACAGATTTAGACTATGTCGTAGACATAGATGTATCTACAAAGCAAAGCAATTCGAGTATATGTCATAAGATTTTCATTGTCTATGAAAGTACTATTTAATCAAATCAGTTCTTTCTATTGACTCGCCAAAATGCGTTGTCAAGAAAGTTGAATCAGCACACATCTAGACACTTCGAGGTGAGGACATAGGGTCATTATCGATTCAGGTTCCTTTCGACCTTTCGACCCTTCAGTGAATGGGATAGACTTGCCTGACTGTCTGAAGAAATAAAACATCTTTTAGGAATTGGATCATGATAAACAACAGTTCTTATACAGCTACTAATCGATTTTCTGTTGATTTGTCATCCTTTCGGATTCTATATGATGGACTGAAAATAATAAGGAACACTTATGAGCCTAATTTGACGCAAACATCACATTTAATTTAACCTTGCAAAAGCATGCCAAAATTGCATTGATAGTAACGGAACATCGTTCTTCCGGTTAAACACGATTTCACTACTAAAAATTGACTTTTTACACGAAAACCGATAAAAACTGACCAACCAACTTCTTAGCTTCTTTGTTAAGGCAGACACATTTTGACGCACTTGAAAGAAGCAAATTTTTCTTTCGCTCATATATTGGCCAAAAAAGGCTACCCACAAACAGTTTTTCGTGGCAAATGTAAAAGGTTGAGTGTTAATCTTTCTTTCTTTTATTTAACGTCGGTCTCTGTTCCGCAATCTAGTGCCAATCACCGACGGACATCGATTGCCATCCATTGACGGCAACAGAATGTGCAGGAAGGCAGCTTCCACACCTGCGTAGGATATCGCACCCATTCACAACACACATGGGCCGGGACCAACGGCTTTACTTCCCTTCCGAAGGAAGACGTGACCAGAGATTTTTATGCCTCAGAAAAATCCCACCGACCTCGGCTGGTATTGAACCCAGACCCATCGGGGTGTTAGAAAGCAGTCACGCTTACCACTACACCACCGGCGCCGGCGTTGAGTGTTAATAAAACACTAGTGATTGATTATTTGGCGCTTTTTCGTGAAATACTTGCCTGAGTGCGGTCATAGTATAAAAGTTTGGACCTGCGTCAAATATGCTACCTCCACGATAATAATTCTAAAGGAGTTGTTAAAAAATTTAAGAAATTCCTATTTTTAATTTTGAAACAATTGTTGAGGAATTTAATGCTAAACTGAATGAAAATTTTATAAACAAGCTCTCAAATGTCGTGATATGTTTTAGGAGAATTTATTCGGGATTATGAGAAAAAATAAGCGGTGCCGATGGTGTAGTGGTAAGCGTGATTACCTCTCACCCCAGCAGGCCTTGGTTCAATCCCAGTCGGCGCCGCCGGGATGTTCTGAGGCATAACATCTCTGATCACGCCTTCCTTCGGTTCATGAGTTGATGGGTCGATAGGTAGGGTCCAGGTGTGGGAGCTGCCTCCCTGGCGTCGGTAGCATTGGTGCTCAGGACGGAAAACAAATCAAAGAAAAAAAAAGAGAAAAAAATAAGCAGAAATGCATACGAAATATTTTGAGGAATGTTAATGGTTTTTGTTGTTGTTCTAAAATCCTTGAAAGATTAGGAACAAGTGTCCAGCACCATACTAAGCAAATTGTGAAGATCGGGGAGTGAAAGGTGGATAAATTGCTCTAAAGTCCCTTGAACATTTACAAAGTTCCCTTATGTTTACTTCTTGAAAACTTTCTACCATTCGCATTCAACTTCCAAATTCCATAATTTTTTTTTTTAAGTTCTTTCATTTCGATCAAGATCTCAAAACCTTTTCTACGATCATCTGAGCAAAACTAAGCTCCCAAATTTCCAAAGCAAACCCTGAAGTTCTAAGAAGTATGCTGAATTTCTACAATACTCCCTGGACTTTCGGCTAAATTTCCTGAACGTCTACGAAGTTCACTGAGCTTCTACAATTTTGGCTGAACTCCTACGAAGTTCCTTGAACCTAAAAAATCAGAGGTTGTATCCAAGACACGACCGTAGATTTGACGTAGGATTACGAAAGGTAGTTTTGATGTCACAGCAAAAGTATAGTAGGGGAAACAACCCTATTGTTGCGGTACGTTAGCAGCGTTAGAAGCCTATTGTTGTGTATGGAGGTCTCCATACATTTAGTACAAGCCAATCCTGGACGATATGTCTTGGATTCAAGTTCTTACTCTTTAGTTAACTCTTTTATCAGTTATTTGTGGTCCAGAAAAGGACCGATGGGTTGGAAGCTTGGAAGCCGGTTTAGAACAATGCTGTAGAAATTTGTCCTCGATGTTCTTGGAGATGATAGCGATGGGGAAATGCGGAAATGAAATATGTATTAGGGGAAAAAAATCACAGAATCACGACGAGCAACTGAATCCGATCAGTGTTTGAGGGCAGCCTTTACAGCTAGCTGCTTGCGGGGAGCTTTTCGTTGTTTACTGGAGAACACCACCACTCACCACACGCGGTGATTGAATGAACAGCGTTTGTTGAGACCGGATGGAATTCAATTTTGAAATCTGTGATAGGGAAATCGCTTTTCACAGGATTTGTAGAAAAAATTCCTATCGATTTGCGTATTCAGAATTAAAATCCATCATTTCTGGATCAAAATCAGACCATTTTCATGCCGCGACCGACTTTAGATTCTAAAATTGCAGTGCCAATGTTGCCTTAACAATATATGGTATGTTTGATGTTAACATATGGGAACTGACATCCAATTGATGACCTTGAAAAATGTTCAAAAAATTCTTTATCAAATTTATAATGGTCCTGTGAAGGACCGTTTTGTCGTGATGGTTGAGTAATGCTGAGCTATTTAGGGTGTTCAACACGGATGAGGCTGGCGAGCTGTAAGTTGTTTGGAACGAGGGTGAAGCGCTTGGGATAGATGGTCCACAGCGACTCCCGGTTATGGATCCCGACCAGTTGGGGTGAGGCTTCTTCCTCCTTCTTCAGTGAATGGACGCTAATGTGGGCTGCAGCTCGCTGCTTGCGGGCAGCCTTTCGTTGTGTTCAATGTATAACGCCACCTCCCGAAAGAACTACTGCTGCTGCTGCTGCTGACGACCGATCGGACACCACCATACACGGTGATTGAATAAGCAGCGTTCAGGGAGACAGGATCGAATTCGATTTTGAAATCTGTTTTAGGGAAAGCGCTGTTTGCAGGCAATTGGTGTGAATTTTGATCCCCATTGCTACAGTTGGACATTTGTGCAATTGTCAATAGTGACCTATTAAAAATCTATAAAGTCGACAGTGAGCATGCATAACGCGTAAACACGATGATCGATTCTCTTCGTCGATTTTCTCTTTAGTAAATAACTCGCTAGAATTAACGTTTCTCGATGCGTTTGTTGTTGTTTTTCCCATAGCCAATACAACCTGTTACAACTCTGCATTTAACTTAGTGTTCATTTAAGCAGATTCGTAGAAAAATTTCCTATCGGTTTTGTGTGCTCAGAATTAAAATCCATCTTCTCTGGATCAAAATCACTTTCATGCCGC